TGACCTCGATCCGACAAGCAATTCCCTTGATGATCTGATCACAACCGCTACGATCGTTTATTTGGGAGAGAGAGAGAGAGAGAGAATTTGTGGGATTAAGGTAGGATACTTTTCACAAATTTTGAATTATGACTAAACTTAAAGTTTCATGGAACGGTTATTAAAAAAAAGACTAATGTGTAACTGTAAAGAAGGGATAGGCTTATATCCTATAATTTATCATGTTCAGTCAGAAAATCTCGATCCTTAATTCATGAGAATTTATATAGCTTCATTATGCATAGAGTATTTTTCTAATATGCGTCATTTGGGTTATTACATGCTTGGTAATGCAAAAATAGCATATAAGTATACAAAATAGAACCGTTTTAAGTACTCTACAAGGTTATTCAAAAAAAAAAAAAGGAAGTACTCTAAAAGGATTAAATTCAACTAGCAAGCAATTTTTTCATCTTGTGTTTTGACCTATCGATATTGTCCTTTAAGATGCATTCGATTTTAGGAAATTTTATTATTTTTTAAGTTGATAATGACATATGAAAGAAAATTGATAGCTAGACGTGATGGAGCAAGCATATTAATTTACCTTATACGTCGAATTTATATGCTCGGAAAGATGAAATCTTTCATCAACCAACTTACTGTTAACGTTGTTGTTTGGCCAACCCAAGATCAACACAAACACTCTTATATATTTTATTAAAGACACTCCATGCTCACATCGCACGTTTTATTTATATGCACAACACAGCTCACTCATATCGCACCACATCATAATACGAGGCATTTTCTGCATGTTTAGCTAATGCAACACAGATTGCATATGCAATGCCGGGCCTCGTTGTTGTTCTTTTAGTTCTGAGGCTTCTCTTCTGGCTCAGTCTCAGCAGCCTCACCAGCATAAGTGCAGCACCTGCAATCTCCACCACCGCAGTATCCTCATCTGCTGCCACAGCAACCGTAGGGGCAGCGCTGTCCATAACCTCCATGGCCGCCGCCATAGCCACTGCGACCTGGGTATCCTCCGTATTCACCATTTCGTGTATCCTCCGGGTCCACCGCCGCCCGGATATCCTCTGTACCCACCACCCGGGTATCCTCCGTATCCGCTGTACTTGGCATCATTTAAATCATTTGTCTCCGCAGTTGCGGTGGATGGCGCTGCTCATAGAAAATGAAGTTTAATCAGGCTTAACATTTGACGTACAACAAAGCTTTAATTCTTCATTTCTAGGTAGTTATGATTAGGATTGGCATGTGGGAGAAGATATGTTTGAGCACCGTTGATTGAATCCTAAACATATCTTTAGTATATAGCATAGGTTTTATGCAAACCTAATGCATATAATCCATTGTCGATTATGTTGCGACAAGGTGATTCATAACTAGCATGATACAAATGAAGCCTGAGTTTTGCTTAGTGAAATATGTCTGTGTTTACCCCTCATTTTGTACATTGTGAATGCAAATTCACTTTGACATGCAAAATAATCCTAATGGATTGAATACATTAAATGCTCATAACAATCCAAAAAAATGTAACGAAAATGCACATGACGTTCTCCGGGCCAACTTGTGTAGACAAAAGTTTTGCACGTTCCATGTGTATAATAAGAATTCCATTAAATTAGGTAATGCATTGGCTCAGAAAAATAGGAAGATGGATCAACAAGATGCATAATGCAGAAATAGCTCACCATCATCTTCCTTGGAAGTAGTCAGCCAATTCTCTGGCAGAGACTTCCGAGGAGATGAGAAGAACACAAGCTACTAAAACACCCAGTAAAATCAAGACTCGAAAACTCATACTTCCTTTTCTCCTAAAAACGAGTGAAGATCTCTCAAATAGGTATGTGTTCTTTGTTCCCTATTCAGGAAATTTTGATGAGAAGGGAATGCTCCTTCCAAGCTTATTTATAGGCACGAGAAGATATGGAAGTACTTTACAAATGGCTGAGATTGCGTGTGAGATCTGCACAGCGTTCTTGATTAAGACCCCACACAATGTGGTTGGCTGTTGGAGAGAGAGAGAGAGAGAGAGAGAGAGAGAGAGAGAGAGAGAGAGAGAGAGAGAGGGGGGTGGGTCTGATTCAGAAGTGTTAGATCTTATCTCTTGATTTGAACGCATATATTCCACTTAATGAGAAAGCTCGTCTTCTTTCTACTTATTATTTATCATGAGATCGACGTTGGATGTGCATTTTTAGACCGGATTGCTCCCTCACTTTGTACTTTGCCTCAAATGGCAACTTCTCGCGCCACAAACATGTCGCAATCACCTTCCAATTTAGAGAGAGGTCTGTGAATATATCTATCTGATTAAATAGAGTTAAAACTGAAGACATGCATAGGGTTTTCATTTCATTGACAGCCAAATGAGATTTTCCTATCCGGTTTTGACACTTCATATGTGATTACTTGTAATTTAAACTTCTCTAACATGATGTTATGGCGATGTCTATGTAAATTGATAAGTTATTCAGGATCAATTGGAAGGTTATCAAAAGTCCTCGAACATTAAATCTCTCTGACATTGGTAGGTGACTGGTGAGGAAGTATTGTAGCAGTGAAGCTTCGGTTGTTCTAGACTTCAATCACCATTCGGAAAAGTCCACTCGACTGAAATGAAGGTGCTGGATTATCCGCCAACGTAATGCAAGATCCCTACGCAACTTTTAGACTGCAATCAATAATGACTAATTAAATCGAACAATTACTTAGTCTAAACGATTATGACATGACAAGGTACTTACCCCATGCTTTGAGAATGTAGAAGTACCCGCCCGCAAAAGCTATTATTGCATTTCAATCACAACAATTAATTAAAGCTCGAGACATGGTCAAAGTATATCACGGAAGGCCGATCGATACCGCTTAATTTTGATGGTGTTTATATTGCCATGTTGAAAATGATTTGTAATAAATCGCGGCATTTTATAAGGATAGACTACAGGGTAAAACCCAAAGCTATTAGTGAGACTAAGCTCCATAAGCTTGAGGGCACGGAGGTGATATAAAAGACCTATGACACGTCTAAAGGGGAAGTCTATACGGCCTTACCTTTTGTGAAACCGGGTATGTGTACAATATCACCTGTGCGTACTTAAGCAATACAAGGCTTAAGCCACCGCTCCGAGACCTCTAAGTTTCAATAGTGATAAGTTTATATATAAAATACAAAGTAATTAGTTAGATTAAATTCACTTATTGAAGGAGTTAGGAATGCTGAAGCTTGAAACCCTAAAGCTAGACACCGTGATTTTTCCCTTTTTGATTTTGAAAGGGTTTGCCACGTGATACCAGAGCCAATATCTAGTGAATATCTCAAGGAAGGAATCTAGTGACCTATGGGATTTTCAGGCGGTAGGCATTGTGGTGTAGCAACGCAGGCTTGATGGCAGACTTCATGGTTCGGTCTGGAGAAAGAAACTGTGGATGAAGTTCGGCATTGATGGAGATTCAAGTTAAGATATTTGCATAAAGATACCTGAATTATGGGAGAGCAAACCTAACATTGAACTCACAAATGAGGGGAGATTGTTGAGATACATGTTTGAGTTGTGTTAAAGAAGTCACACATTAGGGAATTAGTGTGGTGTGGAGTAACTGATATATTTTAGTTGGTCCTTAACTTATTGGCTTAAGCTTTGAGTAAATGTGGGTCCATCTAAATACGCTGGCGGGCTTGGTCTCCCTCTTGGCGAGCTACCGAGATGAATATATCGAGCTTTTGTCGTGCCCTCCCAACAAAAGGAATAGATTGATAATTAAAGAAACTTAATCAAAAATTGAGCCACGTGTCTCGTAATAAGGTAAATTGCTAGGGCTTCTTTATGTAATTCAGGAGATCTAACTATTTTAGTATTATTTTGGGGGATCAAGGTAGGATATTATTCTCAAATTTGGGCTTTGTTTGTTTTGCAGAAAATAAATGATTTGAAAAATATTTTCCTAAAATGATAATTTGTATCACTTATAAAAATGTATGAATAAAAAATATTTTCATTATACACAAAAAAATTTAGACATAAATTGTTATCGATAATGAAAATATCTTCCAAGACATAAATTGTTATCGATAATGAAAATATCTTCCATTGATTAATTATTTCAAGCAATACAAGCGATCAAATTTAGGAAAATATTTTTCAAATTATTCATTTTCCACGAAACAAACAAACTAAAGCTTGGATTATGTCTAAAATTTGAATTTTCTTCTACTGAATTGTTGACGCGTCCAGGTTATTATAAGAGTTGCTAATGGGTAACAATAAGAGATTTACATTTTATATTTATCTTCATAAGCTAAAGGTTCTCAATCCTTAATTCATGAGAATCTACATAGCTCCACCGATTGCAAAGTAATCCAATCGGGCCGGTCAACTTACAGTTGATACAGTGGACAGTGTAGGGGTGCTTTTCTATATGCGTCATTTAGGTTATTAGATGCTTGGTAATGAAAGATTAGGAGTAAGTGTGAGAAGGAGAAGCGTTTGAAGTACTCTAAAAAGATTGAGTTCAACGAGTTGGCAATGTTCTTTCGTCTTGTATTTTGACCTATCGATATTGTCCTTTATGATGCAATCGATTTAAGAAAATCTTACTATTTTTTTTATATAAATAGAGAATTTCGACATATAAAACAAAATGACTAGCCAGATGCATTGTAGCAAGCATACTAATTTACCTTATATGTTGAATTCATATGCTCGGAAAAATGAAATCTTTCATAGACTGATGGCTGTGTTGTTAATACCGTTTGTTTAGCCAAACCAAAAATCAATACAGACACTCTTATATATTTGATTGAAGAGACTCCATACACAAATTACACATTTTATTCATATGCACTACATAGTTCACTCAATTCGCACGGTCGCACCACATCATAAAACGAGGCATTTCCTGCATCTTTAACTAATGCAACATTTGACCCACAAAAAAAAATAATAATACAACACAGATTGCATATGGCAATGCCAGGCCTTGTTGTCGTTCTTTTAGTTCTGAGGCTTCTCTTCTGGCTCGGTCTCAGCAGCCTCCCCAGCATAAGCGCAGCATCTGCAGCTTCCACCACCATAGTGTCGTCGTCTGCTGCCACAGCAACCGTAGGGGCAGCATTGTCCGTAACCTCCACGGCCGCTGCCATGGCCACCTTGACCTGGGTATCCTCTGGACCCGCTGCCTGGGTATTCTCTGCCGCCCTGGTATCCTCCATATCCACCGTATTTGGCATCATTTACATCATTCGTCTCTGTAGTTGCGGTGGATGTCGCTGCACATAGATAATGGAAGTTTGATTAGTTTAAGGAATGGCGTACTAATAAAGCTTAAATTATTCATTTCTAGATACTTATGGTTAGGATTCGCGATGATGGGAGGAGATATGTCCGAGCACCATCGATTGCACAACACCGATCGAAATCATATAGTTACAATCATTAGTAGCCGGATTTTAACTAAGTAGTTTTTGATTACCTATATGTTTGCATAAAATCTAATGTATAATCCATTGTTGATTTGCTGACACCGGGCGATTCTTAACTAGCACAACACAAATGAAGCCTGAATTTCTCTCAGTAAAATGTGTTTATGTTGACCCCTCATCTTGTTCACTGTGAATGCAGATTTAGTTCGACATGCAGAATAATCCTAATGCCATGAAAAAGTTATCATGCTCATAATTAGTTGACTGCGCTAAATCTGCATTTAAGATAATAACGTCATTCATCCAGAGCACAAGGTGGACATAATCAACAGAGAAGTAAAAATTAGTATAACTTATCTGGATGAATGACGTTATGCTCGACTGGTTCTGCTTCCAAAAATGTATCGAAAATGCACATGGCATTCTCGGGCGAGCTTGTGTAGGCGAAATTATGCTCATATCGCTATATAATGCTAATTCCATTTATATCCATTGCTTCAGAAAAAGAGGGAGATGGGTCAACAAGAAACATCATGCAAAAATAGCTAACCATCTTCTACCTTGGAAGTAGTCTCAGCCAATTCTCTGAAAGACACCTCCGAGGAGATGACAAGAACACAAGAAACCAAAACACTCAGTAAAATCAAAACTCTTGAACTCATCTTTTCTCCTTTTTTTCCCTCGAAAACAAATGAAGAGCTCTCAAAAAAGGTAAGTGTTCTGTGTTCCCTTTTCAGGAATTGTTGATGAGAAGGGAATGCTCCTTCCAAGCTTATTTATAGGCACGAGAAGATATGGAAGTACTTGCAAATGGGTCATGTGAGATCTGCACAGCGTTCTTGATTGAGACCCCGCACAATGTGGTTGGCTGTTAGAGAGAGAGAGAGAGAGAGAGAGAGGTCTGATTCAGAAGTGTTAGATCGTATCTCTTGATTAGAATGCATATATCCCACTTGGTGAGAAAGCTTTTTGTCTTCTTCCTACTGATTATTTATCATGAGATCGACGTTGGACATGCATTTTGAGAAAGGATCATTCCCCCACTTTGCACTTTGCTTCAAATGGCAAGTTCTCGCGCTATAAACATCTTGCAATCACCTTCCAATTTAGAGAGAGGGCTCTGAAATAATTATCTAATTAGATCGAGTTAAAACTAGTGAAGTCCGTAGGGTTTTCATTTCATCGCTAGCCAAATGAAATTATCCTATCCGTAGATTCATATTTCTATTTTTACGCCATGTGTGTGATTTCTTGTAATGTTGTTTAAACGTATCTAATGCGATATTACCGCGATGTCTATGTAAATTGATTTTGAAGGTTATGTGAAGTCCTCGAACATCGATCTCTCTGACATTGGCAGGTGAGGAAGTATTGTAGCAATGAAGCTTCGGTTGTTCTAGACTTTCATCACCAATGAGAAAAGTCCATTCAACTGAAATGAAGGTGCTGAATTATTCTCCCACGTAATGCAAGATCGTAACAAAAGTTTTAGACTTTGAAACAACGATGACTAATTAAGTCAATCAATTAAAACTAGTCTAAAGGATCATGAGTCTTGACATGACAAGATACTGCCCCCCAAGCTTTAGAATGTAGAAGTCGCCGCCCGCAAAAGCTTGTAATGCATTTCAATCACAACAATTAATTGAAGCTCGAGACATGGTCAAAGTATATCGTGTATTACCCGGGCCAATCGGTACAACTTAATTATGATGTCGTCTATATTGCCTTGTTGAAAATGACTTGTAATAAATCACGTCATTTTATGAGGATAAACCAAAGCATGAAACCCAAAGCAATTAGCGAGACTAAGCTCATAAGCTTGAGGAACATAGGTGATATAAAAGACCCATGACACGTCTAAAGGGGAGGTCTAGATGGCCTTACCTTTCGTGGAACCAGGTGTGTATGCAATATCACTTGTGCATACCTAAGCAATACGAGGCTTAAGTCACTGCTTGGAAGCCTCTAATTTTGATTAGTGACAAGCTTAGATGCAAAACTAAAAGTTATTAGTGAGATTAAATTCACATATTGAAGGGACCCGAGATTATAACAAAACTTAATCAACAAATGATATCACATCGGAATACTACATGGTGTAATAATCGACAATTGGGCATGCATCAAAGCATTTACATCGTTGGCAAAGATCAATTGGACCATAAATTGAGGGGAAAATTACCAAAAAAGTCTTAAATCTTTTGCAGTTGTGCCAATTCAGTCCTAAACCTTTTTTTTTGGCCAATTCAGTCATAAACCTTTTGCAAACCAGCCAATTCAGTCCTTTTGGCCGGCCGGTGCTGACGTGGCCGCCGGCCGGCTGACGTGGCGCCGGCCGGCGTCCACGTGGTAATATTTTAATATTTTTTATTATTACTTTCGAATTTTTTTCTTTTCCTTCTCCCCCCTGGCCTGTCCGGCCAGGGGGGGCTCGCCGGTGAGGGCCCAGCTCCGGCGAGGCGAGTTGGGCCCTCGCCGGAGCTGGGTGAGCCGGCGGCGAGGGCCCGGCTCGCCATGGGCTGGGCGAGCCGGGCCCTCGCCGCCGCCGGGCGAGCTCGCCCGGCTCCGGCGAGGCCGAGCTCGCCTTGTGGCCGGGCGAGCCGGGCCTCGCCGCCGCGGGCGAGCTCCGCCTCGCCGGATCCGGCGAGGCGAGCTCGCCCGGCCATGGTGAGCTCCGCCTCGCTCGCCCGGCGGCGGCGAGGGCCCGGCTCGCCTCGCCGGAGCCGGGCCCTCGCCGGCGAGCCTCCCCCCTGGCCGGACAGGCCAGGGGGGAGAAGGAAAAGAAAAAAAAAAGAAAAAAATTCGAAAATAATAATAAAAAATATTAAAATATTGTCACGTGGACGCCGGCCGGCGCCACGTCAGCCGGCCGGCGGCCACGTCAGCGCCGGCCGGCCAAAAGAACTGAATTGACTGATTTGCAAAAGGTTTAGGATTGAATTGGCACAACTGCAAAAGGTTTATGACTTTTTTGGTAATTTTCCCTAAATTGAGCCATGTGACTCATAATTAGGTCAATTGCCAAGGTTTATTTCTAGAATTCAGATAAACCTACTATATTGTAGACGTTATCTGTATGGATCAGATGCAGAAGATTTTAAAGACACAAAGGAGTTTTATTGAAGGGAACGAAAAAATCCAAAGAATTGTAACACATATTAAAAAATAAGATTTTGCAAGAGGAACAAGAGATGAGACTGAGATCTGTGCATGGTGGGAGAGGCCATGCATGCCGACGTCCCATTTGGCAGAGGGAGTGATGGAGGTGGGTCAGCTTTGACAAAATCGATTCCATGGTCATGGTCCACCCCCTCTCATTTCAATTGTCTGCTAGTCAATATTCATTGTACTTCTCTCTCTCTTAAAATTGAATGAGCGATCACTTTTCGAAAGATCAATCTATTAAAGAATTATACATACTCATGGGTCCATTTATTCAAAAGAAAATTATTTTCGGAATATTGTTTTCCAACTTTTTGGTAATAAATGACGGAAAACTAATCGATTTAACGGAAAACGTTGTTCATGGACCGAAAACAACAAACTTAAATCGAGGGAAAACGGTTTCTCTTTTTGATAAGAAGGAAATCACTTTTCCTAAACCACAAAACAAATAAAAACTAACTATTCTCTCTTGAAATTGATTTCCACGGATGATATTTTCCTTTTATCATGGAGTTGATGATGAAATAAACGCACCCTTAGATACCGTATGTTAACAGTGAGTGTGCAATTGTATATCCAATATCTACTTTGTCTTGATGGGCCGATATTGCTAGCTGATTTTGTATTGCCAGAAGAGTGCAAGGCATCAAATTTTTAATTTGAGTTTGAAGGGGCCAAGAAGAGCTGGAAGCATCGTGCTTTTATCATATGGGACAGTATATCAAATCTCTCCGATCCGAAGCGCGCCTCCACACTTAGAATCGATAAGTCGTCCAAATTTTGATATTTATGCTTTCTCAAGACTCTAGGTCGGTTTATTGATTGCACAAGTGGCTAACTAAGGAGATAATAGCCTCTTTATTTACTACCATTCGTACTTTCTAAGGGTTAATGCCACAGAAAATTGTAAATTATGCCCACTCTAATACCAATACTCCAATTTTTTTCGTGTTGCAAAAAACGTTAAATTATCCACACTGTAAAACTACTTTCTTGATCTTTTCTACGGCACCGGAACTCTTTAACTATGTCAATTGTGATACAAATATCTCGAACTTTTTATCGCCAAAACCCCTAAACTTGTATTAGTCTCACAAATATACCCTTCGTCTACCACCAAAAACCTTAAACTTTGGAAACTAAAAATTTCTAGTAGATTCTGACAAAATTACCCTCCGTCACCAATACAAGTTTGGGTGTATTGGTGACACGAAATTTTTTTTGGTATTAGTGTTACGGTGTGCGAAGTATAGAGCTTTCAATGGTAGACAAAAGGTAATTTTCGCCATACTGGTACAAGTTTGGGGGTTCTTGCGACCCAAAGTAAAATTTAGGGTATTGATGTCACAATGGACATAATTCATGATTTTTTGTGGTATTTTCCCTACTTATAATTATCCACTACTACATCTTTCTATTAAATAAGTTTCGACATATATAGAGCAATGCTCGCCACTCGTAGGTAATCAACCTAAGAGATAAGAGCAAAACAAGAAAACTTATTGATCTTGAGCCAAGGCTCAAATAAATTATGAATCAATCAAGTCTTGCCTTTTCATTAATCATAGCATGCTTATATATTTGAACGTGGAGTAACCCTCCAAGCATGAGTAATTACCAAGACTCATTGTAAAGACAAACTAGTTTTACAAAAAATAACTCCAATTAAATAAGGATTTTGGAAACTTAAACGACAGTTACTAGACCTTGAAAATATGAGAAATAAATATATTTGGTTGTAGCTCTCCCAACTTTACTAGTTCCAAAGTAGCTAAATTAATGACCTTCAAGGAATGCTCCAGCATCAGCTAGTGCCATGCCCAATCGCAAGACATGCCCAATCTCAAGAGCTACCATAGTAACTTGGGCGTCATCAACGTACAATGGTTCAGACAGTAGCTTACGTTGTACACGACACCAAGGGAAAGAGGGCTTGCAAGAGGTAACAAGACTAAGAATCAAAATTCATTAACCTTAACCTTTCAATACTATCCTTTTTTTTCGCATAAAAAAATACTATCCTTTTTAGGGACGATGCATGTGTGCCCTATTATCTTTTCCCTTCTCTCTCTTTCTCCTTTTTTTCTCCTTTTTGTTCATCGTCCCACCACCTTCTCCGTATACTCGACTAAACCACCAAAGGCCACCCTTGAGCACCGGGGTTAGCCGTCCCTAATGCAAGTCTTTGGTGGCGGCTGCTGTAACCGTCTCTAAAAACTTAACGATGGGCTTTTCGAAAGAGTAAGTAATGCTCTTGGGTGGTGAACGGATTGGTGAGGAGGGACGAAGAGCGCCTTCTTGTCGCCTAATGATCAGTAGGGACAAGCTCTTTCCGCTTTTAAGGTGGACTTTGGCCGTCGCTTTTGCCCTCCCTCTGATCACAACCACTACGATCGTTTACTTGGGAGGGAGAGAGAGAGGCAGGATACTTTTCGCAGATTTTGAATTATGACTAAACTTGAAGTTTTTTTTTTTTTTGGTGACCCGGGAACCGCCGTACAGCCGACAGCCGGCGACGTAAACTCGGGGCGACACTAGCGCAGGGACCCACCACCCACGGCGCCGCACTTAAGTTGCGCAAATATGTGCGCGTGGAGAATCGAACACACCTCCCCCCCCCCCCCCCCGAAGCGAGATGGGGGACGTCCGCCCGAGCCAACGCGCCCACAACGGGGTGGACTAAACTTGAAGTTTCACATGACGGTTATTTAAAAAAAAATGGTAATGTGTAATTGTAAAGAAGAGATAGATAAGTTTATACCCTATAATTTATAATTTATCGTGTTAAGTTAGAAAATCTCAATCCCTAATTTATGAGAATTTGTATAGCTTCACCACGCATAGAGTACTTTTCTAATATGTGTTATTTAGGTTGTTACGTGCTTGGTAATGAAAAAAATAGCATATAAGTGTGCGAATTAGAAGCGTTGAAGTACTCGACGGGGGTTAAGTTCAAGTAGCTAGCAATTTTTTTCGTCTTATACTTTGACCTATCGGTACTATCCTTTGAAATAGCATTCGATTTCAGGTATAAAAGAAAATTGCATGCTAGATGCAACATAGCAAGCATATTAATTAACCTTACACATCAAATTTCTATGCTTTGAAAAATGAAATGTTTTTTTGATCAACGGTTGCATCGTTAACATCGTTGTTTAGCCAACCCAACATCAACACAAACCCACTTTATTTATTTGATTGAATACACTCCATACAAGAATCACACTTTTATTCATATGCACTACATAGCTCACTCATATTGCACCACATCATAATACGATGCATTTTCTCCATCTTTAGCTAATGCAACACCGATTGCATAGGCAGTGCCAGGCGTTGTTGTTGTTGTTGTTTTAGTTCTGAGGCTTCACTTCTGGCTTGGTCTCAGCAGCCTCACCAGCATAAGTGCAGCACCTGCAACCTCTACCGTAGTATCCTTCTCCGCTGCCACAGCAACCGTAGGGGCAGGACCCTCCATAACCTCCACGGCCGCCGCCATAGCCACCGCGGCCCGGGCCTCCTCCGTACCCGCCGCCAGGGCCCCCTCCGTACCTGCCACCCGGGCCCCCTCCGTAGCCGCCGCCAGGCCCCCCTCCGTACCCGCCCCCCGGGCCCCCTCCATAGCTGCCGCCAGGCCCCCCTCCGTACCCGCCGCCTGGGCCCCCTCCGTACCCGCCTCCCGGGCCTCCCCCGTATCCCCCGTACTTGGCATCATTTACATCATTTGTCTCCGTGGTTGCGGTGGATGTCGCTGCACACAGAAAATGAAAGTTTAATCAGTCTTAACATTTGAGGTACTAATGAAGCTTTAATTCTTCATTTCTAGGTACTTATGATTAGGATTAGCCATGATGGGAGAAGAAAGGTTTGAGCACCGTCGATTGAATCCTACTCATTTCTTTATTGTGTAGCATAGGTTTAACCTAATAAAACCTAATGCGTATAGTCCATTATCGATTATATGCTGTGACTAGGTGATTCATAACTAGCATGATACAAATAAATCCTGAGTTTCACTTAGAAAAATATGTTTGTGTTTACCCCTCATTTTGGACGCCTTGAATGTAAATTCAGTTCGACATGCAAAATAATCCCGATGGAATGAATACGTTATATACTCATAAAAATCCAAAAATGATAACGAAAATGCACATGGCGTTCTCCGAGGCAGCTTGTGTGGAAGGAATTTTGCACATACCGTGCATATTATATGATTTCCATTAAATTAAGTACTGCATTGCTTCAGAAATACGGAGATGGCCAACAAGAAACATAATGCAGAAATAGCTCACCATCTTCTTCCTTGGAAGTAGTCTCAGCCAATTCTCTGGCAGACACCTCCGAGGAAATGAGAAGAACACAAGCAACCAAAAGACCCAGTAACATCAAAACTCTTGAACTCATCTTTCCTTCTTTCCCTAAAAAACAAGTGAAGATCTCTGAAATAGGTATGTGTTTGATGAGAAGGGAATGCTCCTTCCAAGCTTATTTATAGGCACGAGAAGATATGGAAGCACTTTGCAAATGGGAGCGTTCTTGATTGAAACCCCACAAAATGTGGTTGGCTGTTAACGAGAGAGAGAGAGAGAGAGAGATGGGAGCGTTCTTGATTGAAACCCCACAAAATGTGGTTGGCTGTTAACGAGAGAGAGAGAGAGAGATGTTGACACCTAAATTTTGACTAACCATTTAGTGATTAATTACATAGACTGGCAGACACCTCCGAGGAAATGAGAAGAACACAAGCAACCAAAAGACCCAGTAACATCAAAACTCTTGAACTCATCTTTCCTTCTTTCCCTAAAAAACAAGTGAAGATCTCTGAAATAGGTATGTGTTTGATGAGAAGGGAATGCTCCTTCCAAGCTTATTTATAGGCACGAGAAGATATGGAAGCACTTTGCAATGGGAGCGTTCTTGATTGAAACCCCACAAAATGTGGTTGGCTGTTAACGAGAGAGAGAGAGAGATGGGAGCGTTCTTGATTGAAACCCCACAAAATGTGGTTGGTTGTTAACGAGAGAGAGAGAGAGAGAGATGTTGACACCTAAATTTTGACTAACCATTTAGTGATTAATTGCATAGACTGGCAGACACCTCCGAGGAAATGAGAAGAACACAAGCAACCAAAAGACCCAGTAACATCAAAACTCTTGAACTCATCTTTCCTTCTTTCCCTAAAAAACAAGTGAAGATCTCTGAAATAGGTATGTGTTTGATGAGAAGGGAATGCTCCTTCCAAGCTTATTTATAGGCACGAGAAGATATGGAAGCACTTTGCAAATGGGAGCGTTCTTGATTGAAACCCCACAAAATGTGGTTGGCTGTTAACGAGAGAGAGAGAGAGAGAGAGAGAGAGAGAGAGAGAGAGAGAGAGAGAGAGAGAGAGAGAGAGAGAGAGAGAGAGAGAGAGAGAGAGAGAGAGAGAGAGAGAGAGAGAGAGAGAGAGATGGGAGCGTTCTTGATTGAAACCCCACAAAATGTGGTTGGCTGTTAACGAGAGAGAGATGTTGACACCTAAATTTTGACTAACCATTTAGTGATTAATTGCATAGAAAATTAGGGATTAAATTTTAACCCCTAAATAAAAATATCAAAATCGCATAGCATATAGTTTAGGTTCATATAGATTAACTGCATTCCACATCGAACCGGCGGTGGCAAGTGAACTGAAAATCCATCGCGCAAACTGAGCTCGAGCACTGAACGAAACTCGGCTCACTCGGAAGACGGGGGCCGAAAATCACAAGTCTAAAAGGCCTTGGTTGTCTTAATTTGAGCTTAAATCAGTCCATTAAGCTTAATTAAAGAAAAGCCCAAATCAATTCAGTCAATTTGGAATTAAATAAAAATTAAAGGATAAAGCCTAAGCCAAAGCCCATTAGGACTAGAAAGCCCGGCCAATTAACTTAGGGTTGCGATATAAATATGTGATTATACCCCCACTCAAGAGGGGGACTCTCATAATTTTTCAGAATGCAACTCCTGAGAGCGCGGGGCCACACAATTTTATACACGGCCAGAGAGAGAGTCATCCGTGAGAGGAAGAGAGTGAGTACATTCAGAGCTTCACAAAGAGCAGCAAAGAAGAGGACAAAGAAGGAGGGGAAGAAGACAACAAGAGAGTGAGGGCCAAGCAGTGGATGTCCCGATCAAAAAGACTTTCGCTGAGGATTGAGAGGAAAAGAACGTGACCTGAAGGAGTTTCTTCCCAACACCGTGACCCAGATCTAGTAACTTTCTTACCCGCAGCCTCCAGGCGAGCATTCAGCAACGTTGCTGTGTCCTCGCTGCTCTGGTTGACGCCCGGTCGCTCCCCGACGAGTTTCCGAGCAGTTTATTGCCCTGCGCTATTTTGGCTGTTTCTCGTCGTGAACACTACCATTGCGAGTCTTCCCTTGGCCGCCCATCAGCAATCAGTCCAGCAAGTCTATTGTCGGTCCAATCCTCGTTTGTTCTTTCATGGCAAATTTTCTGACATCGACCAAGATTCACGCAAAAAGCTATCCCATGCACAAGTGTGCTCTCTGGACGACACATCTGGCATCATCATCGCATGCACTTCTTCACGGGAGGAGGATGGCGACGTTGGTGATCCGTGAAGCCATACCGACGTGGCGAAGTTCGCGCATCCCCGACGTGCTTGTCCGACACACCACCACCACGAGCTGAGTCGCTCTCCGTCGAACCGCCGCCGTCGTCACTGCCAGTCCGCCGTCGTTGGCCACCACGCGTTCTACGATCCACAAACCCAGTCCGGAACCGAGTTCGAATTTGGAAGATATCCGCAAATTAGGTAAGATCATTATCCGAATATTTTCCGAAATGTTTAATTTCCTAAGTTTTCGGTGTTTGAATATTTCGTGGATATTCTTTGGTGGATTGTTAAAATCTTAGGGATATTGTTTGCTCTATCCGCAATATTCTAAAACACTCAAAATTAGGAATTTTTCCTAATTTGGCAACGTATCTGGACGACTATCCGACCTTATCCCTAAGGTACGATACGCGGCGATACGGAAAATCGTTATCCTATCCATAATCACTTGGATACGATAATATATTTTATTCGCTTTCCAAATTCGAACAATCAACTTTCCGTCGATATCTATAACCCTATAGATATGACCGTTAGTTTGATTTCTTTTCCTAATCCAAATTTGATAAGAAGAATCTTGCGGATTGCGTGGATTGTTTGAGTGAGGTTGTTATCTTTATTTGATTGCTTTCTTTTTTAAATAAAGAAAATCCAAAAATATGTTAGTTAGGATTTAAATTAAAATTTGCATGCTTAAAGAATCCTAAATATATCCAAGAGAGTAAGATAATTATTTGATTTAAATTGGGATTTAGAGTAGCATATTTCCTAGTTTAAATTAGAAATTGTTTTAATCTTTGTGGATTATTTAGGATATTTAGATTTCGAATTTCCATGAAATTCCCAAAAAAATGAGTCACTTTAGGACAGATTAAGATAGATTGCATGTTAATTTAGACATTTTTTTTGTTCCGAATTTTATGGGAAAAATACCAAAAATAAATCATTTGTCCGTCATTAGAATTAGGTCACGTCGTCGCATGACATATAGTTCGCATGCTAGGTTGCATTAATCGCATGTCATTTTTTGCACGTCATTGCATATAGGTTAGTTTGTATTTTAATAAAGCGCAAACCCTAAAGAACATCTCGAGTGCTTTGCTTTGTTAATTAGAAATCATATTAGGATTGTCTGTATGATTTTCTACTAACAATGCAGATGATTGCGTTGTTTTAAGGTACGTCATTCTCCCAATCTTGCAATCTATTTACTGTTTTCTTGGGTGTTAAATTGGTGGTTTGCGCACCCGCATGAACACCTCACATGTTAGTGATTAGGTAACAAAATGGATCCAGACTGCCTGCACAAATATTTTTGAAAAGAAAAGGTACCGAAAGGGCGTTAGACTAGATCTAACGTAATCAAGTCCCCGAGCTTAGAATCTCTGGTTCGTAGGAATAAAATATATCTCCCTATATTTTATTTAGGTTTCTAATCGATCTACCATAAATAGATTAGTGGCGACTCCAAGCATGAAAGCTTTTGCATGTTAAAAAACTTAAACCCTAAGTTGCGAATTGGTAGGGCTTGGGAGGGCCCGAGTTAGGCTCAGTCTTAACAATCCATTAACCTGAGAAATTTTAGGTCGCGACAAGAGAGAGAGAGAGGGGTCTGATTCAGCAGTGTTAGATCTTATCTCTTGATTTGAATGCATAATTCCCACTTGATGAGAAGGCTTGTCTTCTTTCTACTTATTATTTATCATGAGATCGACGTTGGATGTGCATTTTTGGACAGGATCGCTCCCCTACTTTGTACTTTGCCTCAAATGGCAACTTCTCGCGCTATAAACAGGTCGCAATGACCTTCCCAAGTTAGAGAGAGGGCTGTGAACGTCTATCTGACTAAATACAGTTAAACTAATGACATTTGTAGGGTTTTCATTTCAGTGTCTGCCAAATGAGATCATTTCATCCGTAGATTCATGTTTATATTTTGTGGTAAAACATGTCTCGAGTTAAAACCTGTGTACAGAACCGACCCGATTGTGGGATATCGGTTTGTTAAACCGAATTTGTTGAGATGGAAATCCCAAAACAGATTAGAATTTCTTTGTCGAGGAAGTTTCCCAAATTGCATGAAGGAAGGTGCACACAAATAGAATTTCTCACTTGTACCGTTTAGAGTTTGTATTGGTCTTATCTAGGGGTGAGCATGGTCCGAATGGACAGTTCCCACCATGGAACTGGGAACCACCCACTGAAGACCGGTTTCGAAAAATTGAAATCGAGAACCGTCCGTTAGTTCTATAGATCCACCCGAGAATCGGACCGCCCGAGTGGATCCATGAAACCAGTCCCACCAAGTCTCACTCAAATGGAGGTGACCGAAAGTGAGAGAGGGAGGCAATGAACGGCCAAAGGGCGGCCGTGAGTCGATGGGAGTTGAGAATGGAGGCAGTAAGCCGATAGGCGTGGAGCTTGAGAGTCGAGACCATGAGTGATAGATAGAGAGACGACTCAAACAAGATAAGAGTGAGACGAGACGAACACTCAGTTGATGGGCATTAAGCTTCAGATTAGGGATTTTAAGGTTTTCATTGTTCCTAAAAAGAATTCTTTTTTCGGTTGGAAATTTTTCTTAAAAATTATATATATATATATATATATATATATATATATATATATAAATTACTAGTTCGGTCCCGGTGGACGGTTCTACGCCTAAAACTAGAAATCGGACTGGTACTCACACCAGTCTCCACGGAACTGCCGGTTTCGGATAGTTCCCGATTTCTTTGCACACCCCCAGTATCATCCAAGGGTTTGACCAAAACAAATGCGTATAGTGCACATCCCCTAATATACATTGTATTTGGCCGCATATATCTTTTCCTTTCTTTTGTGGACTTCGTGGGTTTTGTTGAGATCTTCTGGCCGCGAGTTGAAGTACAAAAGGGACGTGCAGAGAAGTTCTCTCTCGGACGGGTTGTTGTAACCTAGGTGTGGAAAATACTTGGCAATTTGTACCGTAAGTTT